TAATTAAGAAAAAAATATTCTGCTCCAAAGGCCTATAAAAATTTGTTAAAAGGGGTTATACATTATAAATTAGTCAGTAGAGACTGCCTTACCAGATAGTAACAACTCAACCTCCAAATCTTAATTGGCTTAAAACTACATGTATGGCCATACATGACCCATACTACATGTATGGGTCACTATGAAGAATATGTTTGTCACAGTTACTCAGTGACCCAAATGGAGACAGTAAGAGTGAACACTGTTACTTCCCCTTGTCAGCTCTTTAAAGGTTCTTTCCAAAGTAAGTCTCATAGCCACAACTTAACTTCAAGTGGGCAGAGAAGTATTAATAAAATCCTATCATGTGCCAAAGAGAGAGACCGCCAATATCTGTGAACAGCCCTAATCACCGAATACCTGGGAAGTTGTAGAAACCCCTTTGCTTACTGCTGTATATATTATTTTTTTTTTGTTTGACCACTTTACAAAGAAAACATTTTACTTCACCTTTAAAAACACTCAAACGCAGAATTTAAAATTTTCCCACAGATTATACTTAAGGCTATGGGATGAAGACTGAAGAACTGCTACTGTCTTATTAAAGTAACTTTAACTGCAAGTTCAATTTTAAGAGTTGGTAATAAATTTTTGTTTAAAAAAGGTTGTATCTACAAGGCTAAAGTAATATTAAATTCCACAAATGGTTTCTAGTTTTTCTTTCTACTAAGCTAAACATATTATTCTAATAAACTGGCAATGATCCATTTCTTGAGAGGCCTTAGAAATATAATGTTGTATCTTTTAATAGTCAGAATATATGTGTGAATGTGTGAATCAGGTGTACTAACTTCAGTTTACAGAAAAGGAAACTAAAGTCTGGGCCGCAAAGCAGTTAATTCAGTAAACTATATTTTTTTTTAACATTTTATTAAGAAAACTTTCAAGAAGAACAGTTAACAAACTATTCAGTGAATACCCATAAAGCCAACACTCAAAATCTGTATATAGCATTTTGCTATATCTATATCATCACATATTTACCCATCTGTCCATCCATCAATTGATCTCAATTTGATTCACCTCAAAGTAAGTTGAAGACAGCAGTATACTTCACCCCTAAATATCTCAGAGTTCAATTGTTTTTTGTTCATATTCTATAGTTTTAAAGTTAAAGTTATATGGTAAAATGCACACATGTAAACCTGGGTAAGTTCTGATAAATGCATTCACCCATGTAACCAAACCTTTATTGAGCTACACAACATTTAACTAATAGAGAATAAAATTGTGGTTACCAGAGGCTAAAGGTTGGAGAGCTTGGGGAGATGCTGGTCAAAGGACACAAGCTTTCAGTTAAGAGGAATAACTTTGAGAAATCGATTGTACATTACGGTGGCTAAAGTTAATAACAATATATTGTATATTTGAAAACTGATAAGACTAGATTTTAAGTGTTCTCACCACAAAAATGTATATGTGAGGTAATGCATACCATATGCATATGTTACATAGTTTTATTTAGTCACTTCAAATGTATGACTATATCAAAACATCATGTACACTATAAATGTAAACAATTTTTGCTTGTCAATTAAAATTAATTAATTTTTAAAGTGATATACATTTTCATCTTCCCACAAAGTTCCCTCATAGTGGGCCTTGATTTGAATATAAGATCTGCCTCCAAAGTCCAGTCTTTTTACAACACTATGCTACTTTTTTTTAAAGACTCAAATATGAAATATATTAAACAATATTAAAAATGTTATTTCTAGCCCTCAATAATTAAGGTAGTTAAAACACAAATATAAAAGGAAGAAGATACTGGAAACACCCTCCACCAAGGCCAGACATTCCAGGTGTTTAATATCTGTAGCAGCTGAGTATACCACCTCCCCTCTGCTAATACTTACTAAGTAAACAAAAACTACTACTTCCCTCTCCAAGAATTTGAGAGCCAGGAGGAATGGATGTGGCCATAAAACCCATCTCTAGTGTTTATCTCTTCTATCTTCAGTTAAACTAACAGATGCTTAGGGAAAGACCATTTCTTATGCCTGTGAGGCAAGCAGCAGGTTAAGTGCTATATGTATCAGTGATTACTATGAAAGACTATGCGGAGCTGGAGAAAAAGCAAAAGCATTGAAATCAGCCAGGTCTGGGTTTAAGTCTCTTCATACTTAACTAGTGAGGCAACTATGTACAAATTACATCTCTAAGCCTCAGGTTCCTCATCTGTAAAATGAAGCCTATATTTTGCCTTCTTTTCAAGGCAAAGCTTTTCAAATAAATGACCTACATCCAAATGCAGGCAAGACAAAGCCCTATCCTGGGCTTCAAGATATGGGGGGAACTGCTCTGGCCCTCTACCAGCCATATTCCTCCCCATTGGGTGAAAAGACCTTGGGACTAAAATACATGCACACCATGAGCCCAAGCCCTATTGTAGACTATGCTATGGGTCATTTAGGACCAGGAATTCCTTGCCTAAATAGCAGCAAGCCTGGCTTTCAAGGTTTGTGAACACCTATTCTGGGGTCTTGCTTCCTGAGCAGGTATGGATGGAACTTTAAAGTGAGGACTGGGAGTGTAAGTATATGTGTAAAGTTACCTCAAAGTATAGGATAGAATGAGGAACAGGAAGAGAACAGGACTTGGGCTCAGAAGGTGGGGTGGCCTTGGCCCATGTGGACACAATCTGGCATGTGACCCCCAAGAATTCAAAATTTCCTAGTTTAAACACCTAACCTTCCAGGTCCACATGAAGATTTATTTGTCAAAGTGAGAGAACAGAATATATTTTATTTAATAGTTTATTTAACTTATACACATAAGATATGTGGGTCTTTATATTTCCTGCAGACCCTGAAAATGTTACCAGTGGGCCTGTCTACATCTACTATTAATAACCTAATATATAGACAGTATTTGCCACATTTTCAAATTACCCTATTTAATTATGTAACAATAACATGAATTAGGTTACATTAATCTCACCATACAGATAAAGAAACAGCCATGCATAAGAAATCTATCTATACAGTGCCCTTTTTCTCTATCTCCATATCACCTTCTTCTTCACTCCCAAATACCTGATTTCCTACTCTACCGTATCACCAATATTGTACCCTCCAAGACAATGTGCCCCTCATCCCTAAATCTAGTCCTTATTCTCCATAATCTCTCTTTAGCAATTGATACTGTCAATAATTTTTCCTTTCTTATCAAGCTTTCTCCCTTGACTTTTAAGGCTACACTACTCTAGTTTTTCTCCTAGCCTATTGCTGTTTCTCTGGCTCCTCTTCTTTCTCAGTTTTTGTGAAGAATAAATAGTGTTTCTGGATAGTGTCTGCACAAAGCATTCATTCAATAAAAGGGTGTGTGGTGGGGTTTTCTGCAATTTAAAAAGCATAGCTACCATTTTTTAGTAAGGTGCCAAATACTGCACTAAGCGAGACAGATATTCACACTATACCATTTATCCTAGAACCCTGTTTTTATAATAATAAAACTGAAGCTCAGTTAACAGATTAACCTGTGTTAGCAATCTGGCTCCCACACTTTCTAGCTTTATGTTTCCAGGTAGGTCATTTAACTTTCCTGAGTTTCTGCTTCCCCATCTGTGTCATGTCACAGTGTTAAATGAATTAAGCGAAATACAGGTTATAAAACAGTACATGGTACATAGTTAATAAATATTAAACCTCTCCTCTTTTTGCTGCTTCCAGATGAATAAATTAGTTTTCTCTTTCTCTCTTGTATACATTTCTAAAAACTAAGTCTGTCACTTGACTTTCTTATATCTACACTTTATCACATGTGTGAATACAACTCCTCCAGAAAGATGGTTCTGAATCATCTCTGTCCATCTCTCTCTCCAACTATCCAAGGCCACATCCCTAAGTTTTGCTAGCTATGTTTACTGCCTGCCTCATCAAACTTACCCTTTCTGTTATTAAACAAAGAATGGAGCGCAAAAGACTAGGGAGGCATAAAATATTACAAGGACAGAATTAACAACACAAATGATAAAGAAGTTAATTTCATGGTTTCAAGCTTGACTGAGAAAATTATAAAATTTGAGAAGTAGGGTTTTCATAGATCATGTCCAAAATTCTCTTCACCTTTTCTTTTTTTCTCATTCTTCAAACATGAAACTCTAATCCTTCTACTTTCCTAACCTACAAAGCCCAAATTGTTCTTCTTCCTTTGAATACACTCACATTTATTAATACATGTTCCATTCATCTAACACCTAATAACTATCTGTTATTATCCATTTTTATAAATTTACATTTTATCTTCCTAACTATGCTGCAGGTTCTTTAAGGCCAATGTCCATCTCTGATATTTTTAGTATTCTTCATAATACCAATAAATGCTGATTGACTATTGTTATGAAGATATGGCTAAGCACTCAGATAATCATGAATAAAGATGCTTTTTGATCTTTTTCTGACATGGGAGGAAAAGCTTTTCAAATCAAAAGCTTGGGGATTCTCCCACAAATAGGGAAAGTGTTAACAAAAGCAAACTTTCTATTTTTTCCTTAAGGTTTCTGGTCTTGGCTTTAAACAGAAAACAAAAATCCCTCAATATAAATATTGTTAGTCATGTGTTAATACTTTATAAATTATTTTCAAGAAATGTGCAAAATTTTCTTCAAAAAACACTTATATTTTCTAAAATGGTTACTAGTCACTATTTTAATTTGTATTGGAAAGCAATTCTTAAAACTATAAGTCTTTGAAACCATACAATATACACTGATGTGCTACTTATTAAATATTAAAATTAAAATATTATATATTATAAAATATTAAATTATATAAAATATTAAATAATTCTAAATTTTCTAAAACCAAGAAAACAAAAAACAATTATTATAGAGTTTATTTAAAGCAATGAATTTCTTCTTTGGTTGAATGTATTTCAAATTTGGGAAAACCTGATTACATTTTCTTTACTGTGATCAAAATAGAAGTAAAGGATAATAAGTTGATTTTGATTTATTTTACCTGAGTAGCCTTATCTTTCATGCATGAAGGGTAGTGAACATGAGGATCCCGTGGCCACTGTCCTGTGAGGTAAGGTCCTGTTATCGTATCCAAAGAGGAGGTTCGCCTTATTGTACTAGATGTTCGAACTTGCTGAGATTTTGGCCTGTCCACTATAAAAAGTGAAAAAGAGATTAGCTGTTAGTAAATTCTAAAATTATTTAAATTTCATATTTTGCAGAATGTCATCTTGTCAATTTTCGCTATAATATATATTTAATAGTCCTATTATGAGCTGATAAAATTTATGAACCATCTCCCAAGGAAAATATACTCATATATTGAATCTTACATTTTCAGGGCTTTCAAAAATGCTACGAAGCCCATCCATTTTAGAGGCTTATATTATAATAAAATCTATATATTATCTCTATTGCCATTACTTTATTTAAGACTTCATCCCATCTCACCAGCTTTCTAACTGCTATCTCTACATTCATCTCAACTAAATCTTACAGTGCCATCTCCCACCCCTGCTAAAAAATCATTTATGGTTAGTCATTGTCTTTAACTTAAAGCCCATATTATCTGGTATGACATAATAAGCTTTCACAATTTAGATCCCATATACCTCAAAGTTTAACACTCTTGCTAGCTACTCTTTCATAAGCCCATGCTAACTGTCATACAAATAACTTGTATTTGTCCAAAAGTAAAAGGTACCCTCTCTGCCTCCCTGCATTCTATATCCTGAGCCAAGAACTCTCTTCCTCTTTAGTCACTTGACAAATTCTTATTTATCAAGATCAACTCAGATGTCACACTGCCTCTGTGAAAACTTCCCCAATGCCCTTCCCTCTCCTTTCTTCTTTGTATAAGATATACTTGCCCTCCTTTGCTTTCATGGCACCCTAAGCTTGCCTCTCTCCCCAACCAGAGCATAAGTTCAAACCCTACAGTCTGAAAAGGAGTTGATGTTCAATACTTACTTAATGAATTTATTCACAGCTACACAAAAATAACATGTATCAAGAAATTTATATTTTAATTCAACCTTTCTCATTTATAGATGAAGTATTTGAAGCCAAGGGGGATACTATTCAATGAAAGAGAGATGCTAATAGGGACAGATGGAAAAAGGAACCAAAATCTCCAGACATTCTACATAGTTTAATCAATCTACTATAACAATCTACTTCTCCAATGATATGGATATCATTTAACACATCGACTGCCGCACTAGAAAAATGTTTTTCCCCCCCTTGGGGCCACAGTGTTTTATTATGAAAATAGAATAAAAACTTAAAAAACAAAACAATCCTTTCTAATTTAATGAAAAATTTATTTTTTATTGTTTTCTGTGCATGACTTACATGCAACTTGAAAAATAGTTCACGCTGCTCCCAAGGTAAAGACATGTGTGAGTTACATATGGTTCACAGGGCCCCAGGCGCAAAACTAGCATGAGTTAAATACAACTCATGTGGCAGTGAATGTGTTAAGTATCTCTGTTAAAAGTTAAAATTATCACACTGAACACCAAACCTAAAAAGAAACTAGAGGATTTTCCATATATCCATCTCAAATAATTTACTATTAGTGTGCAATCTATAATAAAGTCCAATGGATTATAAGCCCAAGGACCAGAGCCTTATTCAGAGTCATATCTCACATTAAACAAAATGCCTTGCACATTACAGAAGGTGAAGAAACATGTCACTGAATCCTGCCCTTTAACTACCTTCCTGAACCAGAATACACAATCAGTTTACCAGAAAAACAAAAGAAACTGCAGTACACTGTAACATTGTCATATTATCCAGACAACATCTTACAACTGCAGTTTTTATTTCTTCTTTGATCCAACAGTTGTTAGAAAAGATCTGAAAATTACCAAATTTCCACCTAATCTTTATTACTTAGCTCTAATTTTATTGCAGAGAATCAAGTGTGACCTATTTCTACTCTTTGGAATTACCTGAAATTTTTCTCTGTGACCAAAAACATGGTCAACTTTTATAAACATTTCAAGAGTCATGGAGAAAATATATTTTGTTTTCAGAGCATACTGTTCCTTTTTTTGTCTTGTATATCAAATGAGTTAAATTAAAAGACAGGATACAAACATAATTATTATATTGATCTGTCACAGACTTTAAAAAATACTCTAAAATCTCTAATACCTTCAGTTTTGTGTATCTCTCATATATAGCATGTCATTATATTTTTTGGAAAAAACTTTGTAGTAGGCCTTCATGTTGTAAAAGGTGAATTTATCTCACTTATATTTATTATTATAACTAATTTAACTTGTCATGTAATTTTCTTCCCTATTTTGTAATGCTTCCTTGCTACTTGTTTTTTGTGTTATTATTTGTTTCTTTTTCTCCCTTCTTACTGCCTCCCCCCATCATAGGTAATCTGGAAGATATGTACACTGTTTTCAATTCTACTACTAGAATTTATTTCTATCAATTCTTTTAAATATTTTTCTTGGTTATAAAAGCAATATCTACTAATGTAGCAACTTTGGGAAATACAGAAAATTAACACATCCCCCATAAATCTGATTTATAATGATTTGTTTAAAATTTTAAAGTTATTTTACATTACTTCTACCAAAAAACAAAATACAGAAACAAATTATCCCTTGAAAAACAGGATCAACATTTATAACAGTGGACCACTAACCTAAAAACATAAAGGTCAGCTATGATAAGAAAATAAAAAACCATTAAAACCTGTGCCTATACTTAAATTGCTCCAAACTATTTGAAAAGTTGCATGTTGCCTATTTAGCCATTAAAACACCTTTTAATTTGGTAAGTAAACAACAGAGATTTTAATGTTTTATAATGAATTAAATATATGAACAATCTATAATTGAGCTTCTTGGTCTATATAATATAATATCTAATCTAGATTTACTAATTTTTCTTTTACTGTATTTTTAATCACTGGATCTTTGCCTATCACTTTAAAAAGATCACATGCTCTCTCCTTAATGTCCAGTCTCTATAATTAGCTGTTAATAGTTTGTTAGAACTATGGTCTTCAAGTTATCTTGACTAAGTATTCCTATTGGTAAACATACAGGCATGCAGCAACATATGTATTTATTTATAACCTGAATATGTATGATATTGCTCATATGTTATAAGGCAGACAAAATACAAATTTATACCTATGAAATAAAAAACAGAGAAACTGTATTTTCTTCCCATACCGCAATAAGTGACCTTACTTCAATATGAAGACTACTGGAATAAAGCACCTGAAACTGAAGGCTCCATTCAATCTGTAGATTAGCCAATTAGCTTTGCCTAATTCTGTGACCATAATCCTAATGCTTAAATGTGTAAGAATGTATAGACAAGCACCATACGTTACCAACAGAAACAAAATCCAAAAATATCTTAAAAAGAAAATGGGACAGTGTCCACAGAGTTAATAAAATTACCTCTACCACTCGGCATTTTTAAAAGACTTAAAGTATTTTAGGCAAATATACTTGAAAAGCTATATCTCAATTATACTTTAAAAGAGATTCTCACCATTACTTTCACCAGGAAAATTTCAATGATATAGAGTAGTTAGAAATTTCCATGTAAATTACTTGAAGGGTAAAAATTCTGAATAGGTTTAAATACTGACAATGATAGTACTATTCCAAGATATAATTAGCCATAATAACCCCATTTATCAAATACCACAAGAGCCTTAGATTTATCAAAACATTTATCATAAATAGTACAATTCTATTTCAACAAGTTGACTTGTTCATATTATCCAAACTATCACTCCAATGAGTTAGTTTTTGACAGCCTCAACATCTAAGCCTTGTTGCCCCTTAATTTTTATTTTTTTGATTTGTGGTAATATCTCCCATCAATTCAGTTTTTACATTTCAGTGCAATCATAAAAGTCAACATGGTTTTGCATTATTTATACATTCAACACAATAAATTGGTTTCTTGTTTCATGATTACATATACATTTGTTTTGGACTGAGTGAGCACAATATGTCCTTATTAATTAATAAAAAATTACCTCAATTCAAGTAGATCAAATAAGAAGACACTTTTATCAACGAGAAACATAAATTAGTGTAGTCAAATAATCTTCAGATACAATAGCTTGAATAACTTAATAAAATTGCTAAATTAAACACTCATATTAAAAATATAAAAGAAAATCAATTAAACAAATACACATCATCATTACCTAAGCTAAACATGGATCAGAAAAAGACTACCTTCCTAAGTGGCAAACCAGGTAATCATTATTACTAAACAAAACTTGTGGAATATGTCTACTATATGGAAAGCACTGTTCCATGTACTAGGGGGAACTACTAAATAAGTTTCAAACTCTTTTCCTATCTTCAAAGAGGATTTACATCCTGGTTGAGGGAGACACGATATACAGAATTAAATTATAACATAAAGCAGTATATGTACGGCACATGCACAACAATGAAGGACAGGAAGGCTATCAAGGCAAAAAATAAACTAGACAACAGACAGCAACAATGCTGCTATATAATTATACCAAGGGAACTTTCAAGGGTATTAAGATTCTTGTCATGTCATGTTAGTTAGACGCTAATATCTCTCTCCCTTAAATATGTGAGGGTAAAAGACACAATACTATATAAATTCAGCAACAAAATTTGACAGTTAAAAAAAGCATACCTATTATCAAATGGTAGATGACCCTTTTCCAAATCCCAGTATTATTATGATTCTTGGTTCCAGAACATGATTGTTCATAACAGAGGTCTATAAAAAGGCCTCCCCATTACATTCACCTACAAGTTGTACTTTCCCTCCTTCCTTCCCTCCATCCCTGCCCCAATAAGGAGCCACATGCAGCAGTAGTTGGTAGGCCTGAGGCTTCTCTGTGGTATCTACTAAGGACTATACAAAATAATTACTCTCTAGCAGCCAACTGGAAATTCTACTTTAATAATATTAAAATGGGTTTAAAGACAAGAAACCATATTAGATAACTATGAATCTGAATAGCAAACCAGTCACTATCCTAAACAGGCAAAAAAAAAAAAATGCTTTAAAATATAACTGCCAAAGCAGTATGATGCCCAATTAATTTGTCCCCAGAAACAATTTTTACTTTAGTGGCAATTACTGAAGATTGACTGATTAGTGAGTTT